GAGTATATGCTTACATAAATCATCGTGTATCGGGAGAGAGAGGCTGACAAGCTGAGTTCGATAACTTGGATTGAGGCCTTGACTCCCTTGAGGGGTGGGGGATCTGGTAATGGTCTCGTAATGGAATGTTAAGGTACTAAAGTTAGAGACTTAGAGGCAAAGGCCCCGTTTCGTTTAACTTATTTTTTCTTATTCTTATTAAAATCAGATCAGATAAGATACAATCAGATAAAATCAGATCAGATCCACTCAGATCAGACCAAATCAAATCAGATCCCATCAGAAGTTATTATTGTTATTATTATTATTGTTGTTGTTCTTAAAAATGAAAAAGAATAAACTTTAGAAACAAGTTAAATTTAATACTGAGAATGTAATCCTTAATTATTAGAATTCAGAAAAATCATTTTTAAAATACATTGATAATGTCAATCTAATTCTACTTTTAAAATACATTTTTACTGCTACCTGTAATTTGAGTTTCTAAAGTTTTGATCTTATATAAGGATGAGATATTTTAATAAAAATACTATCTCTTCTCTATATTGATTATCTAAATTTAATTACTTTTTAATGTATTTATAAATTAAATATTTATTCTAATGTATATATGATCTAATTATTAAAATATTAAATCAATATTCTTATTTCACAAAAAAATAATCATAAAATAAAAAATACTATTACATTATAATATGAATGATTATTCTAATATATGAATTAATTAATTATATTTTTTAAAGAAATAATCATAAAATAAAAATATTGATTATATTATAATATGAATTATCATTACAATTTTCAAACATTATTATAAAGTCAAATCAAACTATTGATTTGAATTTTAAATCAAATCATAATTAATCAGATTAAATTAGATCCAATCAGATCAGAACTATAAAAAATTACACAATATTATAAAAAATAAGTTGAATGGAACGGAGCCAAAGTATATTTTTGAATATACGGGCAAGCATAATGGCTTGGGTAGGGGATTATATATATTATAATAATTTTAATTTGTTACACGGATAAACAGATATTCGAATAAATAATTATTTAAATGGATGTATATCCATTTAGATTGGATATACAATTACAAAATTCGTATCCGTTTAGTAATCGGATATCCTTAATCGGATAGGGATATTATATCCGTTTGAAACGAGTGCGAATTGTTCTCGTATAAACGGATACGAATGCACACAGTAATTCAATTTTTGATAATCCTTTGACAGCCCCTGCCAATTTAAGATCAAAGCTCAATTTGACTTCTCATGGTGATTGTCCGGCGAGTTTTGAGGGACCCTCAAGAAAGGGCTTCAAATACAAACAAAAATATTGACATATGGAATATTTGTTAAATTTTTGGAGAACTAAATTTTTTCACTAATAATAGAAGAAGTATACTCACTCTATCTCTAATTAATTATGTCTTTCAGAACAATGTATAAAATCTCATTCATTTTAAAATGATTTTATGTAGATATATATTGATAAAGAAGTAAAACGTACAACTTATATATTTAAAAACTAATAAAAAATTTACAAAACTAGTTTGACATTTCTATTTTATTTTATCAAATGATAAATGAAAATACATAAACAAACAAAAATTATCAGAAGCATAAAATAGTAAAGAGTCCAATTAATTTGGATGAATGGACTATATATAAATGTATAAAGTAACCCTTTCTATTAAACGTTGACCCATATACAGTTTACCAAGTGCTCAACTTGAATAATAAAAAATAAAAAATGGGACTGGATCATGTTTTCTTCACCTGATCTGATTAGAATAAATCTGATCTAATTTGATCTGGTCTGATATGATCTGAATGTAGTTATATATAAAGCTAATTTTGATTTGATCTGGTTTGATCTAATATGATTCCAATAAAAATAAGTAAAAAAATAAATTGGGGAGAACATGACCTTAGAACATTTGTGAACACATTATGTACCAATTTGAAACTTGAAAGTGCGTGGGAACATAAGTAATAAGGAGTATTGACCTTCTAGCAATAAACACACTCACGAATAAGATTTCGTCAATCAGTATTAATATATTTGGAACGTTCATGGAACACAAGATTAACAATAAGAGCAGCGGCAGCGGCAAGTTGTTTTCTTGCCTCCCTTGCCGCATCATTTGCCAACACACTATTTGCCTTAGAGTGGAGTGGTACAACATTTCTCCATGGAGAGAAGCTATTGCAAATGCTCTAATAAATAAAGCTGAGTTGTTATCACAATAAAGATGGCCGGGAAGGATGAATCGATGGTACAAAGAGAGCGGCAAACAATCCTTTTAACCATTAGACATCAAAGCAAGTAATGGCAAAAGCGCAGTGTCCTCTGCCTCAGCAGAAGATCTAGAAATTGTAGTTTATTTCTTAGCTCTTTAAAACATATGCAACCCACACAACAAAAAAAAATATGATCTGACTAAGTGACGAGTAAGTAGACAACTAGCCCAGTCAGAAGCACACACATGTGTACAGTACCGTCTTTAGGGCCAAGCAACCAAAGCGAGAGCCTAAGGTCTCAAAATTTTTGGACCACAAAATTTTAAGTAAATTTTGGATATATAGGGTGATTTGTGAAACGACGTGTATGTCTTTGCTTCCCCTCGAGCATTGGCCATCGTAGCTAATATTGATCCATTTGTTCTTCATCAACGTTTGGGACACCCATCCTCATTTTTTTTTCTTTTTTTGGTTTGAATAAAATAAACTCTGCTGTCAAGAAGCTACATATTTGTGAAATCTAGTTCTTTTTAAACAAACTCATTCCACTTTTCCTGTTAGTAATAATAAAGCTACTGATGCTGTTATTTTTTATATAATTTTTTGCTATGATTCATACTCAATACTCTAAAATCATCGTAGTGGTTTGTTTTAAAAATGGAACTGAGTTTCTTAATACATCTTGTTATCAATACTATGATGCTTTGGGTGTGTGCATACAGATTTCTTGTATAGGTACCCCATAACAAAATGTGCGAGTGGAGCGTAAACATCGACATATCTTAATAGTTTCTCTTCTCATAGGTTTCAAGCTTCTTTTCTTATTGAATTTTGGGGGGAATATGTCAAAACATCAATTTATCTCATCAACCGTACTATAAAATTTTGGTGGGCCAAAAACAATGAGCAGAGTGCCGGGTAAAATTAAACAATTGCACATAAAGCCGAGATCAATTTTCTAAGCCAAAAGCTTAAACTCATTGAGAGGCAGGGTTTCACAGTTTCACCCTTCTATATATGCTAGTGGTATTTGTCTTTGTTTTGATGCTAGTGAAATAAGAATGCATATGCAGCCTTGAATCCCATTCCTACCACTCAAGCCAGGGAACCATAACTTTGACCCATCTGGTCACTGTGCTTCTCATTGAGAGCATTCCGGAAAGGGGTTGCCCGCAGTAATTGTACACCCATAGCCAAAGTTATGGCTCAAACACTTTGGCGGTCCAAAATACTTCAATTTTCTCATACCCTTGTGTTTATCCTACCTTTCATGGGTAAGAAACACAAGATTAATCGGATCTAACAGCTCAGCCTCGTGTGTATCACCTGTTTTGGCATCACTCTGTCATAGGATAGTTGTTATCATCGCGGGAACACAGAGTAGAAATGTGAATGGCGATTTGTCATCATCGAAAGACGATGATTGCGTGAATTTTTCTTTCTCGATAATGACTTTTTTATTTTAATTTCATTTATAGAGGAAGTGGGAAGGGTGATCACACCTGTCACGCCCACCACTGTGGCACAATTGACAGAGCCCGACAAGCTTGGACGGCCGGTGATCACACCCGAGTCACACTCCATACTACATAGTCTAATAAAATGTGAAAGCTGGCTAGTCTTCTATACTCACAATAAACTACATTATCTACCATTTTAGACGCTTCCAAAAAACAATGAACACTTATTTTACATTCTTATTTTTACAATACTTCTTTATCTAATATAGTATTGACTCTATTACAATGTAGAACTTATTCATACATTTCTCAACCTAATGTCATAGAAAGAGCCAACGCCTTTACCTCCACTAGAACATGAACTACCCATGAATTTTGAAGAGTGGGCTTATTACCATGCAAGCCAGGGGACAAGTTACATTCTTAGAAGTTACATTCTTTTAACTAACAAAAATGATTCTTTAATTCCCCTAACCAAATTTTAATTGCATGATTTTCATTTTCACTTTTCTTAAATTACTTAAAAGTGAATGCATGCATATCTCTTTTTGTGGAGAACATATAAGAACTAAAGTACATTAAGGCATTGATTGGAAAAGAGCGTTTTCAATTAGCGTTAGCGTTTTGGATAAAATTTTAACGGTGTAGATTAACTCTGAAAACGCTAACGTTAAAGGCTACCATCAGATACTCTTTTCAAAGCGCTAACGCTAACCGCTAATGATGATGCCAAATGGGGCCTAAGTGTCTATACAACGGAATAATACTACAAAGAGTATTTTAGTAAATAAGGTTTGAATAATAGAAGTAAAGTTTATTTGGGGATATTAAAATCAATACATAAATGGGAAGAATAATATATACCATATTGTGTGTAACTATGTAGCAACATTAGATATGAAAAAGCATGTACGGTAAAATACAAGTGATAGATATTGTTATTTTAAATATTTATATGGTTGAGATAGAAAAATAAAATGAGAACATTTGTGTCGTTATTGCCATGGCTAGCTAGCTATATAGACATATATACTTCCATAATTGAGTTAATACTTATTTTTAGTTTCTTCTAATGCACTCATAAATTATTTTAGTTTATGTATATTGTATTGAATCAAATAAGTTCATCTAGCTAAAAAAATGTAAATCTAGTACCTCTAACAAAATTTATCTTAACCATATTTTTGAAATGCTAAATTGGCACGTTAACTGACACATTGCCTACCTAGGCGGTCATGTCATTTAACGTGCTAACTCGGCATATAAAGAACACTGTTAAGATAAATTTTATCACAAGGAATAACTTTTATTTATATTTTCAACTACATAGACTAATTTGACTCAATACAATATACATGGACCAAATTAACTCACGGATGCACAGAAAGGGACCAAGATGAATACTGGTTTAGTTTGTGAGAAAATAAGTGCGTTATTTGGAGACGTCGTCGGTTTTGGAGGAGCCGTTGTTTCGGAGCTGCTGTTTCTTGATGTTGAGGAAAGCGGTGGCTTTGATGTCGATTTCGGGGTCGTCAGCCATGCAATAATAGTCGTACCCGTCGCGTTCGTCGGTTGGTCGGACTTTGTACTGATTCGCGACATCGTGCCCGTTGTCGTCGTCCTCCTCCCTCTCATGATCATCATCACTTCCCTTCTTCCTCTTCCAAAACCCAAAGCAACAAAACCCTCTTATCTTCCCCATACTATGTTTTGTTTTGTTTTGGTTGAGAAATGAATATATGGGTGATATAAATTGTGTGTTTTTAAGGGTGGGTTTGTGTGGGTCTACTTATAGTGGAAGGGAAAGGTGCCCCAAGAGGGGAGAGAGAATAATGGGAAATGATTGAGAAATGGCCGTTGATTTTGATTGACGGTGTGGAGGGAATTAAAATGAAGTTACATACGTTGTTGTAAGTGCTGTAAAGTGTATTAGGCAATTTTAAGTAATATAGGGAGCATATGCTCCCATTAGTCCCTTCATTAATTATATGTATTCTCTTTTAATTACTCTTTAATTTAAAAATAATAAACACCGAAAGAACATAAGTAAATAAAAGTTATCAGGATCTTGATAAAAATAACTTTGATTTTTATTTAGGGGCAATCAGAATATTTTATTTGGATCACTCCAAAACTTTGTTGTTCTTTGCTTCTCAAGTAAAGAGTGGTTCAAATTTTTTCTTTTACTTCTAGACAAATTTCAACAACATAATTTCCACTATATTAACAACGATATCAAGTTAGGCCCTAGATAATATTTTTTAGAATAGTCTTTTTCTCTCAAAATAATTTACTCACTTTAACTTCGCGAATATTAAGAAAAAGATAACCCAGTACTCCATATGATGTTAAATGGTGAAAAATATGTAGTTATTAGAATTTGGTTAAAAGAGAAAGAATTTTGGACTACATACAACTTCTTTTTCTTTAAGGAAAACTTTAAAATAAGAAAACTATTTTGAAACAAATTTAAAAAATATTTTTTTGTGTGTACAAAAAGAAGTATATAGGAAAGCAAGAGGGGAATATTCCTTCAAAATTTTGGTCAAGAATCAATCATCACCCTTAACAGTGTAGTTTCCCTTCCCGTGTTGTTTGATACCATATGTGCATTTTAGCATCATGCATGCCGGTTAGTAGTTTGGAGGAACCAAACGAGTAATGGGAACTTCTTGACAAAATTTGTTTGCTAATAAACTATGTATGTGGATATTAATTTTTTAAAATTAGTAACATCAATATTTATATCCTTAACCTCTAGATTAATAATACGTTGAGACCATGTCAAGCAATTAATTCAATCAAAAGTTAATTACTAAAACTTCTACTTGAGTTTTTTTTGTGGCTGGTAATTTAAAGTACGAGACTATTTTATTTAATAATCAATGAGAATATATAAAGAAAGGAAATAAAGAATAACCATGTTAATAGTAAAGTAGAATATTATTGTGAGACTAAATAATATACAAATTGATGGACGGTCTTAGGACACATAGCTTTACGTGGCCTTGAGCCAACTTGGTACCACACGCGTGGAGCCCGACTATTACCGAGTTGATTGAATCGGACCGCACTCAGGTGTCAGCGCCCGCTGAGCGAGCCCATTGGTCAGCATCTGAAGACATTAAGCCTTAGATGCTTAGTGAATCACGTGGCTAGGGGAATGTCCACGCACTAGACGACAATGGAGCACGAGGGCCACGCAGAGCGTTTGTCTAGGGAACGTGCCTATGTCGGAAGCCAATTTAAGCCAACTACTTCATGACAAGAACCATCACTCGATGTCTTCTAACTCATATGAATATCTATCCAATGTAATGGATTTGGAGCCAAGCTAATAATACTCCTATATTGCACTCTCTCGCTCTAGCTTTCAACCCTGATACTTTACGCCCATTACTAGTCACCCCCGACTGCTAGGTCGGCCTACTCGGTGGTTTACGACCATCACACATTATTAAAGTAAATAATTCTGACCTATTGTTTTAGGCCAGAATAGTGCTACCTCCGCCCTATTTTAAGTTGCATATTGTTGTGTACGATGCTTGACTGAATATATTTTCAAATTAGATCATTTGAAAATTAGAGTAGAACTAAATAAACTACGGAGTAGATAATAAATTTTGCAAACCAAGACAATAAATGACTATATTATTTTATCAAATGAGTAACGAAATTGAATAAAGATACTGAATAAAATTTGATCATGTAAATAGTTTATACACAATATAAAAACGACAACGAAATTACCTCATTTTTACGAACATTTTAGTAGTCTTTTGGAACACTTTTGTTGCTCAAAACAAGATGCTTTTGTGAGCGTACCATTTTTCCTGGTTTTTGGTTTCAATTGCAAAAATATTTTTAAAAAGGAAATCTTGGCACTTCTCTTGAATAAAATGGGTTTGGGCCAAGTCTAATGGGGATTGGCCCATTATCGTGTGCAGATTTGTGAAGTGTGGCTCCATTTTGTTATTAGACCAACCCCAATGCTAGTAGCCATGTAGGAGCTAGTACTAACCCAATTTTTAATCTTTTATATATAAAAAGAATAATTCAAACTCTAAGACATGTGACAATGCTTATGACAAGCAAAATATGATATGGAATTTATGAAATAAAACATGGCAATATTTCTTGTAACTTCTAAGCCGATGCTCCCCGATATAAACTGCCGAATTGGCATCTGGTTTCGAAACGCAACTGTTCCTTAATTTTTGCGATTCCGACTCATGTCTTTCCGAAATTCACGTGGGGGTTTCCTTCATGATGAATCGTTTAAAGGTTTTCAATTAGCAAGCTTTAATTGGTTCGGCTTTCACCATTTTGTTAGGATTTATATTTGGTTTTTCTTGTGCACGCGAAAACACGTCTCGCAAATCGTGAAGAGATTCATTTGAAACTGAATTGTTTTTTATTCCTAAATTCATACTCAACTTCAAAAAAAAAAATTGTTGGAAATTGCATTTTCCCCAAATTCTTATGTAATGTTTTTACCTAAATTAGCATGCCTTTATATAACGAGAAATTTACCTAAATAGGACTAAAACATAATGACTTTCCCAATATAGGACAATATGTTTTTATTTCCCAATGTAGGATCTTTGGTCATTATGAAGTAATCATTATTCAAATAAATGACCATCATTACTGGACATTATTCCTCCCACTAGGTCATTATTAAGCCCTATTTAGGAAATAAAAAAGTTTAAGTCATTATGTTTTAGTCCTACATTTCATAATCTACACCCAATTAGAAAATTGACAAATTCTTCCATGCTTTTTTTACATGGGCCTTAAGACTACAATATCACAACTCTAGAAAATCACTCTGAGCTAAAGCGACAAGACTACCACATCAATTGATGTTACCCCAGATGAGTTGGTAAATTAAAACTTCAATTTATTGTGGTGTTCATTTCATGCTGATATAATTTATTCTCTTTAATTTGTATATTGTTAATTGCGAGCTTTTAAATATAGCAATTACTTCAATAGAATTACAAGGCTTAGGTAATTTAAAGAATCATTATTTTTTTGCTGATTGCAATCATATGTGTGTGTAGTGTCCGTATATACATCTTATCAAAATATGAGTGAATGAGCTGCTTTGACGCGAGGTTTGTTGAGAAAATATATTATTTTGAGGAATAAAATAAATGGAGTGTGATAACCAAATTGAAAAATTTTATTCATGTCTTCTATTTCTGTGACCTGAAATGGCGATATAGTTTATCAAAAAATATTTTTGTTGGTGCATTAAAATTAAAACATAACACAAATTGGTGCATAAAGATTAAAGAAGTCCACTAAACTTAACACTTTGTATCCATCTTGGGACCAGTAGGGATGATGAGAATTCAGTGGTGGATCCATATAACATACTCTAATAACATCGTTGCTTAATATAGCGTCAATATCTGTTGGATTAGGAATTTTACTTAATCTAGTATTATTTGAATAGTACAAGTAAGCCCAATTCAACTTGACTCAAGATATAAATCAAATAAATTATTCAAGATGTAGCCAGAGATGTATGGAGAGAAAAATATATTTGAAATGATGTAAAGATACTCAACGAAGCCCTGCTAAAAGCCACATGGGCTTCACATGGAGAAGGTCCCCTTTTGTCTACATCAATCACTCTCTTCTCTCCTTTAAATATGAGACTACGAGGAGAAAGATGAGAGACCAATTCCTACTTTCTCATACCAGATAACTAGATAATACTTCTTCTTTAAACTTTGAACTTCATTAATGGCTCTAAGCTCCTACCATGATTTATATGTAAATCCCTAAGAGATTAACAAAAGTTCCTTCCTTCGGCATGGCACTGCCCAAAAAAACTCGTGGTTTCTCCTGATTTGAGTTTCCACGTTTACTTTCCAGATTTCGTTGTTCGATTTGGTACCAACCCGGAACTGAGCTCGTCGGGTCGACGCTCGAAAAAACGATTTCCATCACTGGCACTACCTGTAGGACCCTTAAAAAAGCTAAGGAGTATTATTTCTTGGTTCCTACAATATTTAGTGTAGTATAAAAAAAGAGAGAGGAGAAGTACAAAAGTAAAAAAAATAAAAATAAAGAGAGTGGAAAAGTCAAGAGAAAGAGAAAAAAAAGAGTGGTGGTGGTGTTTTTAGTTCGGGCAGGGAGTGTTCTCTTTTCATACCTAACATCTCCAATAAATCAACCAGCCCCGATGGACGACAAACAACTGGAGCGAGGCGAGCAGCAGCAGACTTCAGGTAGCTAGCTACAGGGAGTATCAGAATTGTCCTCTTCGGCGAACCGTGGTTTAAATTCAGCGAGCCTCCCTCTTCCGGCAAGCCCCGGGCGGCAGCGGCGAGCCTTTAGTTAGCTCCCTCTTCCTCTGACAAACCACATACAGGAGCTGGTCCGGCAAGCCTCAGGCAACCTCTAGCGAGCCTCTTCTTTAACAAGCGCACCTCCTCCAACTTCGTCGAGCCATGGATGGCAGCTGCGAGGGAGACCCTTCAACTCCCAGCCTCCTCAAACTCCAGCGAGCCAGGGATGGCGTCGGCCTCAATTGGTCCGTTCCAACTTCTAGGGACCCTTCAAGGACCGCGCCAGCCTCAAGAGGTTCTAGCTTTAAGTGTCCCTCCAAGAGACGGCGCAAGCCTCCAGAGTCCTTCGAAGGAACAGCGCTGGCCTCAAGAGGTTCGTTCTAGCTTCCAGGGTCGCTCCAAGGTTGCTTCCAGAGATTTGTTTCTGCTTCCTATGTCCCTCAAATTGACCGCGCCAACCGTTCTAGTGGAAACCCAAATCGGGAGAAAATCATTGGCTTTTTTTGGCGGTGCCATGTTAAAGGGAGAAACTTTTATTAATATCAAGAGAATGTACATATACATCATTGTAGGAGCTTGGAACCATTAATGGAGCTCCAAGCTTAGAGAAGAAGTATTATCTAGTATGGGAAAGTAGGAACTGGTCTCTCATATTTCTTCTCGTTGCTTCACGTTTAAAGGAGATAAGGGAGTGATTGATGGAGGCAAAAGAAGACCTCCTCCATGTGAAGCCCATGTGACTTCCATGTGATAATGTACCACGGGCCCTGCTCGATATCTTTACATCACGTCAAATATATTTTTCTATCTGTATATTTTTGGTTTTGTCTTGAATAGTTTATCTGATTTATATCTTGGACCGGACTAAATTGGACTTACTTATACTATTCAAATAGTAGTGGACTAGGTACAATCCCTAATCCATCACATGCCCCTTAGTTTTGGGTCTGTCTCGGGGAACGAGACAGATTCAGAAACTATATGACTCGGTGGGTTGCCTCATGGGATAGAACTTTCTTCGGTGTCTCGAGAAGAAGACTTTTTTTGGAGGGTCTCATTACCTCGTGGGTAAGGATTTAACTTGGTGCCTCTTAAAAGAGGTCTTTTCTTGGAGATTTATGCCTCATGGAAGAGGACTTTTTTTTGGAACTCTTAGAAAAAGACTATCTCGGGATTCGGTGCCTCTTGAAAGAGGGCTTTTCTCAAGGATTTGTGCCTCTTGGATGAGGACTTTTCTCGGAGATTGGGCCTCTTGGAAGAGGACTTTCTTGGGACTTTGTGCCTCTTTGGAAGAGGACTTTCTCGGGACTTGGTGCCTCTTAGAAGAGGACTTTCTTTTTTTAGTGCCTCAGGAAGAGGACTTGGTGCCTCGGGGAAGAAGACTTTCTCGGGGCTCGCTTTTCAATATTCTTTGGGAGTCTCTAAACAGCAGCTCGATATCTATCTCACAGTGGTTGGGCGCTCTGATCTTATTTAAAGATAGACGTTCCCCGGTTCTCTCTTTCTAACTCTTTTCTCTATCTTGGTACGGGAGTCTATGAATATCTCCAGTAATTTGATCATCTACTCTCCACTCTTTTACACTATTACTTTTCTCAACTTGTACAACTCGTCTATTATATTTCTTATGGATGGGACTCGCAGGACAAGGGTCGAACATGCTTGCTCGACCACGATGGAACTCGACGAAAGGCATGGCTCAATGGTAGACAGAGGGTCTCTGGACAGTGGACGTCGGACGGCTCACTTAACTCCTTGGCTCCTTAGAGGACGGAGGATCTCTGGACAGTGGACATCTCACTGGACTCTTTTGCTCCCTAGAGGACGGAGAAACTCTAGACAATGGATAGCTCATTGGACTCCCTTGCTCCTTAGAGGACGGAGGATTTTCGAAAAGTGGACGGCGAACAGCTCACTAGACTCCCTTGCTCCATAGAGGACGGAGGATCTCTGGACCGTGGACGTCGGACAGCTCAATGGACTCCCTTGCTCCTTAGAGAACGAAGGATTTTTTAACACCGCACGGCGAACAGCTCACTGGACTCCCTTGCTCCCTAAAGGATAGAGGATCTCTGGACAGTGGACGCTGGATGGCTCACTGGACTCCCTTAGTGGACGGCGGACAGCTCACTAGACTCCCTTCCTAGAGGACGGAAGAACTCTGGACAGTGGGCGGCGGATGCTTGCTTGATTCATTATTCCACTCGAGGATGGACATCTTGACTGGTTCACTAGACGGAGTCCCTTTTGAAGGACCCCGGAAGCTAGGACGGGCCACTTCAGGTCAGCACTGTCCCTTTGAAGGACCTATGAAGCTGGAACGGACCTATTGAGGCTAGTGTCATCCTTTGGATGGACACTTGAAGCTAGAACAGACCTCCCGAGGCTAGCGCAATCCCTCGAAGGGACCCTAGAAGCAAGAACGAACCTCTTGAGGCTGGCGTCATCCATTGAAGGGACTCTAGAAGCTGGAATGCACCACTTGGCCAGCGTTGTCCCTTGGAAAGTCCCTTGAAAGCTGGAACGGACCACTTGAGGTCGACACGGTCCATTTGAGGGACCCAGGAAGCAAAAACAAATCTCTTGAGGCCAACATCGTACCTTGGAGCGACTCCAGAAGCTGGAACAGGCCTCTTGAGGCGGGTGCCATTCCTCGGAAGGACTCTGGAAGTTTGAACGGACCTCTTGAGACTAGTGTCGTCCCTTAGAGGGACACTTAAAGCTAAAACGAACCTTTTGAGGCTGGCGCAGGCCCTTGAAGCTAAAACGGACCTCTTGAGGCTAGCGCTTCCATGTGATAATATTCTGCGGGCCTCGCTGGATATTTTTACATGACTCTAAATATATTATTTAATCCATATATCTCTGGCTCCATCTTGAATAATCTATCTAATTTATATCTTGGGCCAGACTGAATTTGGCTTGTACTATTCAAATAATACTGGATTGGGTAGAATCTCTAAGCCATCAATATCATATTGACCACCATAAGATAAACACAAGCTAGCTTTCTATTGTATGGTTCAGCAATATATATTTTCCTCTTCATACAGTATGGCCAACTTGTTATTAAAAATTATTTCAGAACAAACATACGTTATTTAATGTTTCAGAATGAACACTACATTGTTTCAGAATGAACAATATGCTGAGTAGGCTTCAGAATAAACACTACGATTGAAAATAAATATTTTGTTGATTCAAAATAAATATTTTGTTGATTTAAGACAAATATTCAGTGGATATACTTTACTCTACATACAACTAGAAGTACGATATAGATTTTCATATTATGATGAGGGTAGTATTTCACCAATGATGCAGTGAATGAAGAATCACTAAGGAACTTTGGTCATGATCATCTCAAAAGTCAAAACATGCCTTGTTCAAAACCAAAGTTCTTATTGACCATGGTGTTAATTTGTACATTGGAAGTGATGAATGGATAATCGTTATCTTATGTGTGGTTTATGTTCACTTAAAACCTACTCCTTCCGTTCAAAAATTATCTTCCAGTTACGTGTTATGATGTTTGATTGAAATTATTTTCAAGCCATTTTATATGAAAAATGGTGTCAAATTAAAAAAAATAAAAATTACATAATTAGAACTACATCAAAAGATCTACAAAAGTAGAAGCCAATGGACATGACTATATTATTTTATCGAAGAAGCAACAAAAACCTGTGAACAAAGTGAATAAATTTTGACCTTGCAAATAATGAACGGGAAGATAAATTTTGAACGAAGAGGGTATATAGTTTGACAATTTATGTAACCTAAAGTTGGTTACAGAGGATTTGCCTATAAAACTGGTCTCTCATGCTAATTTTGGTTTCTTTAGTTTCTTCTCGGGTATTATATGAAGCAATATTTAGTACTAATCTCTCACATGTTCGAGCAATCCCATGACATTGGAGTTCAATGTCATAGGGACATTGACTCCAATTGGAATACTTATGGCATCCGATTCGTAAAATTGAAAGTTCTTACCACCAAACCCCCTGATAAACCACTTACCCCGGCTCGTCCAAACTCAACCCCCTCCTCCGCCCTTTAATTGTAGCCTAAATTTGTTTGGCTTTGGGATCATTTTTTAACCTCAAAATTAACTAAATTTTGGGCATAGAATTGTAAGGAGTGGGCCCGGGTTGGACCAGGGTAGAAGGGAGGTTTACCAAGAGGGTTAAATGGCGTGGGACCATCAATTTTAAGAACCAAGCATTGTACATGCCCATTGGAGCCAGTGTCATTCCTTGACATTTAACTCCAACACCATCATCTGAAGCTCCATTACCCTCTACAATTGTCGACACTCGACGCCATATCCTCCCACTTCCCGCAAAAGCTCCCTTCATGTTGCCTTCACTCAAGCAAAGCTTCTCTCACCTTCCACCAAAATCATGTTATTGGTAATCTGTAAATCATTGATCGTGCAGCCACATTTTCTGTTTGTTGTCACAATCCAAAAAAACTCGTGGGCGAGGACTGCAATGTCGACAAAGTCAGTGACGAGTCTCTCAAACAATCAAACCGGTCGTTGTTTATGCAAACAACCCTCTACATGAGACATACTATATGGAGGTGGCAAGGTAAATTCATGTGGTCGACAAGCCAATTAACTTATTACGCCTCTCTAGAAACTAAAGTTATATTCCAATCCACCACTTGGCAATCTCAACTCCACCTGAATTGCCACAACTCAACCAAACTATGAATGTGTTGGGGAAACGACGTTGTCCCTCGAGGATTGGTGTCGAGGTATTGTTTTCCACTACACAACGTAAATTTAAGAGAATCCCTTCGACTGTTACGTAGCTATGCAAACCTCTCATCTGTCATGGGGTTACTGGAGGGTGGTGGGCTGGCGGTGTTTCCCAAGCTTTCTCTTGTATGTTTTGATTCGACTAAGGTGTTAGGATTCGGTGAGATTAAATGGATTTAGCAAGCCTCTTTGGCTAGAGATTGACTTGTTGCTCGCCTGAGAAGCGAGTGGGTGGGATTTACAAGGAATTTCTAAAGATAGTCCATTAGGAATTTCTTATATATGAACCTTTTTTTAGCCTTTGGGGTTCCATTTGGGGGCTTTATGTCCTCAATATCAGGTATTTCATGACTTAGGCCCCGTTCCGTTCAACTTATTTTTTCTTATTTTTTCTTATTCTTATTAAAATCAGATCATATCAGATCAGATCAGATCAGACCAGATCAGATTGGATCAGACCAGATCAGATCGAATCAGATCAGATCCGATCAGATCCAATCAGATCAGATCAGATCCAATCAGATCAGATCAGATCAAGACTTATTAAAATAAGATCTCATCAAGAATTATTATTATTATTATTATTATATTATTATTATTATTATATTATTATTATTATTATTATCATCATCATCATCATCATCGTCATCATCATTATTATTATTATTGTTGTTGTTGTTCTTAAAAATGAAAAAGAATAAACTCTAGAAATAGGTTAAATAAAAAGCTGAGAAAGTAATCCTTAATTATTAGACGTCGGAAAAATTAGTTTTAAAATACATTGACAATGTCAATCTAATTCTACTTTTAAAATATATTTTTATTGCTACTTGTAATTTGAGTTTCTAAACTTTTGATCTTTTATAAGGATGAGATATTTTAATAAAAATACTATCTCTTCTATATATTGATTATCTAAATTTAATTACTTTTAAATGTATATCTAAATTAAATATTTATTCCAATGTATA